GGGATCTGGGGCACAGTGGGAGTTTAAGCCACCAGGTCTAGGACTCGACCCTCAGTCGACTACTGGGGAGTCCAGCCATATAGCCATTATGCCAACTGCTGGTCCCTGCTTTCTATTTTTTACTCCAGGTCAAAAATGTATTCAAAAGTCGGATCATGGCATGGTGGTTGGGGCAGCTGGATCTCATATAGCTGGCTGTATGGTTCAAGTTCCAGATTTGGCAGCTTGGAAAATACACTGGTGTGTGGGTATATGCGCCAAAATTCCAAAGAGAGGGAGAAATACAGAAGGGATTGTGGCATGACAAGGCTCCTATTGGGGAAGGGATGCTTTTTGCTTTCTCTCTTTCTCTGTCTCTCTTTCTATGTCTCTGGTGAGCACACATATCCTCTGGCAAAATGATTTTTTAAAATGTGTTCACTATTGTTTTCAAGTGGGTCCAGTTCCTTTCCCTTCCCACAGGGTGCATGCACTTGCTGGAGAGAGACAGAGAGCGAAAGGTGAGAGCCCCTACCACTACCTTCAAGGGATATCTCTCTTTGATATACCCACTCTTTTACTTTATAAACTTAATGTTTTTTTTTCTTTTTTTTTAGATTTTTTGCCATAGGGCATGTATGCTCACCAGAGAGAGAGAAGAAAAGTGGGAAATCATCCCACAGGAGAGATGACCAAGCTGGGATCCTTCTCATCCATTCTCCTCTTGGCATTTGGGGCACAAATGCACACACTTGCACCCAGTGTGATTTTCAAGACACTGAGTCTGGGACTCAAGCTATGGTCAGCCATGTGGGAGTTTAGCACTTTAGTCACAACTCCACATGCTGCCCCCACCCACTTCCTAATTTTTAGCTCTTTAACTCTTGATTTTTAAACTTGTTGACTCTTCTGTAATAACACTTAGCTTAAAATATACATTGCATAGCTGTGCGAAACTTTTTTCTTTCTTCTTTCCTTCCTTCTTTCTTTTTCTCTTTTTCTTTCTTTTTAATTTGCTAGAGGGCACACATGCTTTCCAGAGAGAGAAAGTAAGAAAGCACTTCCGTGGGAGATGGTCATACTGCAATACCTTCTCCAGCTCTCCCACCTTTCAGGATTTTGGGCATGTTCACATGCATGCCTGGCATGTTTTTCAAGCTACTGGGGCTAGGACTCAAACCTTGTAGTCAGCCAAGAGGGATCCACCCACCTTAACCACCAAGCCACCAGTTGGTCCTTATTTTTTTTTTCTTTATATCCTTATTCTGTAAGCTTTTTTCTTTTTAACTTTTCTTTTTTTTTTTTAACTTAACTTTTTTCATCTTAAAAAATATAGATTTTTACTTTCTGTTGTTAGAAACTAACACACACACACACACACACACACACACACACACACATTATTCTAGGCCTACAGGATCTGGATCATCAATAGCACTGTTTGCCACCTCCACATCTTGTCCTACTGGAAAGGTCATGAAGAACAAAACGACACGAGATCAAATCAAGCACAGGCAAAATCATGTAATCAGGGGACAGAGTAATTATGAAATGGATGAGGCTAGTGCCAGAGAAGCACAGTAACACATAACATCGTTTTTAAAATACGTTAAAGGAATACCCTCTGGAGGTGGAAACTGTTTTCAGGGAGGAGAGCCTCTGAGAGAAGAGACACTGAGTGAGAATAAATACCAAAGTCCATATGGAGGGTGGTGTTGACATGGGTCAGGGGAACAGCAGATGACAAACCAGACAGCTTGTACAATTAACCATCAACTGAAGCTATGTATGTGCGAATACACACATACATGTAGATGTACATGTTTAGGGGGGTGAAAAGAGAGAGAAAGAAGACATCTTATTATAACATGTTCTCAAAATTTGAATTGTATCTGGTATTGAAAACTCAACTAAGGTGAGTTTATAAAGCTAGAACTCAAAGTATTTCGTAACACGGGACCAGCAGTTAGTGTAATGGCTATGTCGCTGAACTCCCATGTAGTCGATCATGGTTTGAGTCCCGGACCCGGTGGCTTAAATTCACACTGGTCGTATGTGCGTGCATGCCCAAGATTCCAAGAGGAGAACGGAGAAGGGATTGCGGTGTGGCCGTCCCCCCGGAGGGTGATTTCTCGCTTTCTGTCTCTCTGTCTCTCTGTCTCTCTGTCTTTCTGGTGAGCACATGTGCCCTATAGCAAAAACTTCTCCAAAAAAAAAAGTATTTCCTAACACAACTTCTACCTTATGTATTGTAGCAATAGGTGTGCATATTACCATGCATATGATAATGGTTTAAATTACTGCACAAACAATTACAAAGTGGAGTCAGATCTATAGATGCGCTATATTAATGCACTAATCCAGCATCTTATTTTTCCTGCAGTATGCCATGGAACCCAATTATCTACATATTTGGCCCAGAAATACCTTCATGATGATTGCACTTCCTAATACGGTAATAGAGAATATATCAACTGTAATTTTGCATTTATAATTTGAGATTTTTATTACTTACTTCTGTACTTAGTATGTGTATACCTAATTGATCTCTTTATTGTTTAATCTATTTAGTGTTATAGTTTGAAACTTTGGGATTCCTGAGGAAAATCCTGAAGGAATTCCAATAATTTACTTTTTTTTAATTTATTTTTTATTTTTTTCTTCTTTTTTTTTGGAGAGGTTTTCGCTATAGGGCGCATGCGCTCGCCAGACAGACAGACAGAGACATAGAGACAGAAAGTGAGAAATCACCCCCCAGGGGGGATGGTCACGCCACAATCCCTTCTCCTCCATTCTCCTCTCAGGATCTTGGGCACGCATGCACACGTGCCCGGCGTGAGTTTTAAGCCACCGGGTCCGGGATGTGAACCACAGTCGACTACGTGGAAGTCCAGCGACATAGCCATTACGCTAACTGCTGGTTCCCCCAATAATTTACTTTGGAAAGGGGATTTAACTGATAGGAACGAATTACAGAAGTTTATGTGTGATGATGTCTCTCATCTCCACCAAAGACAGTGTAGGAGTTGACCTCTAGTAAAACCAGAACGATTTTGGCTACATATTAGAAAAACATTTCCAACCTTTAACGTCTGTGGGACATTGGAATATATACATTATCAAAGCAGAGCAAAGCTTTTCTTTCATTAGACTTCACAGGCTTTTGCCCAATACAGACAGAACTGTTTCCCTGGTTTGTCATTTTTCTGCTTCTGCCTGTCCTGGAGTTCACTGCCTGTTAATACTGTCTTAAAAGGAAGAAGAAGAGGAGGAAGCAAATCCAGCCAATCAGCTAATAATCTGATAATCTAGTGTTTGCCTGGTAGAAATGAAGAGATCACAGTGTAGAAACTCTCCTGATGCCCAAGGAAGTGGGGAGCACCTCAGGCATTTGGCAAAGCTTTTCTGAGGGAGTGAGAAGAGTAATGGCAGTGACTTCCTGTCTGCTTACACGTTCATTCAGAGAGCTCCTTGGTTTATAAATTTGCATTGATAATGCAAAATTATAATTAATATTTCCTATGCCATCTGTAGTGCTAGCATTGCCTGTTCCCCTGTTCTGTCTCATACTGTCCTCTTCTTGTCACAGAACAAATCTTTCACATGCACTTTGTTCATGCCCTTCGAAGAGTTCGACAAACTTCTAACCAGTAGCGATGTGCTGAATTTCTTCCAGAAGTACTTCCCAGACGCCATCCCTCTAATTGGAAAGTAAGTTTCAAGATGTGATATGGTGCTTGATTGGTTGGAGTAATTCTAAATACAAAGTATACAAACCTTATTTCAATGTTGTTCAATGTGATGAATCATACATTGACCTGCACAGAAATTTACATGGGAAAAAAAAAGTCTAAGTGGATGTTGTGCTGTGAGCAGGAAATACTCATGCTAGTTTCATGCCAGTTTCTCCTGGAAAGATGAGTCACCAATGTCTCCAGGCTTTTATGTATCATGGGCAGGCTCCAAGGGGTATGGTGTGCCATGGAGATTGGCTGCGCTTCCTTCTACTGATGGTACACAAATCTTTGGCACAGCAGATACATCTGGCAGCTCCAAGTCTCAGATTCACCACATATTAGCCACAAAGCTTCCCTATGTCCTGGGCTTCTCATGGCACAGTGTTCATAAATAATAGTACCTACCCCAAAGGGTTGTTGTGAGACTGAGATCATGTTTTAAATCACTCAGCACAAGAACTGCACATATTACAACCCCACAATGAATAGCTAAATGTACAAGTTGTCTGCTGCTCTCCTGACTCGTGTCAACACCATCCTCTACATGAACTTTGACATTTGCACAGTGGATGGCTTTTAAATGACAGGATTTGTTTCTCATGGTTTCGGAGATTGAGAAGTCCAAGATCAAGGCATTTGCAGGTTAGGTATCTGGTGAGGGCCCAGAGAAAGGTGTCTGGTGAGGACAGTGCTCATTATTGTCCTGGTGGTAGTTGGCATGTCTTCATTGTGTCTTCCACACGGCAGAAGAGGTGAGGGAGCTCTCTGCAGCCCTTTTAATGAGAGCACTAATACCATTCATGAGGGGGGTCCACTCTCTTTACCTAGCCATCCCTAGAAGTCCCACCTCCAAATGCCATCGGATTGGGAATTAAGATTTCAACACTAGGACTAGCAGTTGGAGTAATGGCTATGTCTCTGGACTTCCATGTAGTCAACTGCAGTTCGAGTCCCAGACCCAGTGGCTTAAACTCACGCGGGGTGTTCGTGTGTGCGTGCCTATGATCCCAAGAGGAGAATGAAGGAGAAGGGATTACATTGTAGCCATACCCTGTGGGGAGTGATTTCTCACTTTCTGTCTCTGTCTTTCTAGTGAGTGCACACACCCTATAGCAAAAACCTCTTAAAAAAAAAAAAGATTTCAACATGAACATGAACATCCAGTCTACAGCAGAGGAACTTTGTAATACTGTTCTGTCCCCCGCTGCCTTGAGTCTTACCTTTAAAATAGGTATCAGAATATCTATGTTTTAGGTCAGTTGTGAAAATGAAATCATTATTTATGTAAAAGGGACAACCTACTGCTGGTCCATGTCAGGTCTTTTAAAAATTGCTGCTTTGCACCCTTTCCTACAGACTACTTCCATCTCTGTTGATCTTTCTTTCTGCAACCTTGAAGACAAATACCTGTCTGCATACAAAAATTACCCCTTATTTACTTTTCAAACTTCTCCCATGACTATTTCTTGCGGGTATGTACAGTCGGTATATATACAGCTTTCACAAAACTCCTGTAGATGCTATACAAATACTATGTTGCACTATGGGTCTCTTAAATTTACTCCTCCAGTCTAACTGAAATGTTGCACCCTTTGACTGCCATATTCCAACCCTCCTGAATACTAGTTTGCTCACTATTATCCATTTCTAAATAGATAAGGATTCACATTACTTTTAATTTTGGTTTGCTATCATCTACTCAATTGTACAACAGCACTTGTTTTCATTTTCCATGGAAGGCTAAATCACCAAAGTGGAAATTTCACAACCCATGTGCATGATAGTGAAGTTCTCATGACATCTGACACAGACATATTTCTAGTTATTCAAATGCTGCCAATCTTGTTCTTTCTGGATGTGATTACCCTTGCTGTAAATTAGGAAGGTAATTAAAATAATGGACATTTGGGGACTCAGAAACTTCAGTTTTTCCCTTTCCTGTTTTCTTCCTGATAGTCTTGTGTATTTTTAAATAAAATAGAGTGGTAATAAAGTCAATAATTCTGAAAAAGTTCAAGATTTAATACACAGTTTACTATCTTTACATTCTGGTGTTTTTCTTCTGAAGGCAAACCCTGGCAAATGATTTCTTTCTATTGCCTGCTCAGCCCATGATATCTGTAAAGTGCTCTTCTTTTCACTTTAAGTCACATTGTGTACTAATGGGAGATGCGGCTCATGCCATAGTGCCATTCTTTGGGCAAGGAATGAATGCGGTAAGTTCTTTCTCCCCATGTAAGTCCCTGAAATATTTGTGGTCGATCTCAAGTAATCAGTCTTAAATTAAAAATATGTCTAAAACTATCCCCATATAATCCCAAGAACATACTCAACTCAACAGTCATAGTTGTTTAACTTAATCAATCTCCAACTCTAGTTAGGATTAGGATTAGTTAATTTGGTAATTCAATATTAAAGAAAACATAACACATAATATAATATTCTATTAAGTTAGAAAATGTAGCAGCACCTTGGGAAACTTGGCTATCAGCAATTTAGGATTTAATTTTACAATATCTTTTTCTAGCAACTATGCATAAGTATATAATGTTAGCCTCCCCCCAAAAAGAAAGAAAAAGAATCCTAAATTACTTGATTCTTCTGTTTCTTTCCAAAGAAAAGAGAAACATAATTGACAGGGTAAAATAAAACTGATTAGAAGTTAAATACTTCTGCCTTTAAGGAAATTTTACTATTCTAGCTTGAAAGAAATTTCAGAAAAGAAATAATATTCAAATATTGAACATTAATATCAAGGAATCCTAAGCTAATTGTGTGTGCATGTAAGTGCGTGTGCACACACAAGCAACAATAGCTTTAGTCATATATTGTTTTAGTGATTAGGATATGTAATCTATGTAAAATCTATGTAAAAATAACTTATGATTCTAATAAGTTATATTTTCCACAAAGCAGTGGTAAACATTTTGTTTTCTAAAAACATAAAAAGACATCAATTGTAGCATAATGAATAAATGCCTAGGATTTGGTTTAGAATGCCTGGTTCAAATCTTGACCCAGGATTTACTTGCACAGCTTGCTAACTTTATCATTTACTTTCTCATCTATAAATTTGGAATTTTAATATTACCTAATTCAGAGACTTGTGGAGAGTAAATGAATGAATCATGAATTTAAAACTGTTATTGTAACCCCACATGGTATCACCCATTTCTAAATTACTGTAACCTTAAGAACCTGTATAATTTATTTGACAAGTAAATTTACTTGTTTTGGGTATAATCCCTTTAACTATTATCAAACTATTTTACCTTTACACGTCTTTATATTGCCTCTAATGCTGTAGTTTGAGTACCTAGCAACCAGGATCTATAGCTTTCGATTTTCTTATTCCTCACTGCATTTAGCACAGTACCTTACTAATTTTGTAAATTTCTTGATATTGGAAATCTGCTTTAATCTTGCGTTGTAGGAATTAAATTAATATGGGAATGGTTTTTATCCTATTATTAAATTGCTCTAAGTAGGAATCTAAAAGACATGAATGGTATGAATAGTTTAAATATAATTCTAAAACTCATGGAGAACTATATAATTATCCCTCTCTAAGAAGCAATGGAATCCATCAAAATTACAAGAGTAACTTAAAATTTTGATAAATTTCAAATCATTATTTGGGCAAAGTCAATATCATCAAGCATGCAGTTGATGAGCCTGTATAACTATAGATTAATGGAAGGTGACAACTCAGCTGCTGGTTTCTGGCTGAGGATAAACGGTCTATGTTCACTGATGGATGGTCTATCCAAAATTGCTGAGGAGATTTTGTTATTTCCAGTTTATTTTTTCCCATTTTTTTCTTGTTTCAGGGATTTGAAGACTGCTTAGTATTTGATGAGTTAATGGATAAATTTAATAATAATCTTTGTAAGTAAAATTTTTCACCTGGCCATAGACTAGTTCTGTTGATTAGTTGTTGACCTATTTCTGATCCTCACTGATCACAAACACATGATGCATTTCCCCCTGTTCAGGATGATCAATTTTACTATGTCACTATTGTTGCCCAAATCAGAAAATGAGCACCCAGGGAGGGGAACAGTTTCTTTTAGAGTTTGTGCATGGAGGTCTATGCAATGACCCATACAATGATGAAAGTTTAAATTGCCAAAGCTAGGTCAAGATGTGCTACTTTCTTCTTTTCAACTTAGGTACCACACCTGCCTGCATCTCTTACAGTATGCCTCAGAAACACTCTTCTACATACCAGTATTTTCTTGCTTCTTGACTTATCAAAGATCCTCATCTGATATTGCCATTTGCCTTTTGATTAAAATTGATCCAGCCAGGACCAGCCTGGGTGGTGCAGTCCATAGTAAGTTGCCCAAACTGCATTGCTGTAAGGCAAGGGGCCTACCAAGGGTTTAGATTCCCCAGGTCAGCCTAGAAACACACTGGGCATGCACATGGGCACCCCAGATTCTGAAACTTTATTGTGTTGCTCTCTCTCTCTCTTTCTCATGTGTGCACATGTGCACACACATGAAAGCACACATGTTCTCTAGCATAAAAAGAAATAATTCAGCCAATATATTAATTTTTCAAATATTGAAATTTTAAATGTTTATATGTAATTATAGAATTAAATTAAATGTGTATATGTACATATATAAGGACATATATATACACACACACATATATAAAATAAAGAAAAAATATATAAAGAAATGGGAAACAAAAGCCTAAGAACTGGATAACCATTGCCTGCCTCCCTGCACCACATGTCCTCAAAGGTTACCTCTACATTTCAACCTGCTTCCGGAAGGGATAGACTAGAGATGTAGACTTAAATTTAGACCCACATTTAAGACCTGATTCACCAGTTTGTTAGCTGTATGACCTTGAGCAAGTCACTTAATCTTACTGAAGACTCAGGGTTTTTAAAAATTTTTTTTATTATATATCGTGGAAATAGTGACATCAACCTAAGAGAGTTGTGAAGACTAAATTAAATAATTGGTGTAATACTTTAAAAAGAAAAAAGGCTGACATTAAAAAAAAAAAAAGCTTGTGTCGCCAGACTCATGCCTGTATCTACAGAGATGACAAGTTCCAGGGTCAATTTCTTCTGTGAGTTTCCTAGTCATCTCACTTAAATGCTCAGGATCCAGAGATTTTACCTCCTGCCTTCTTAATCCTTATGTGATTGGTTTGCACATGATGAAAGAATATACCAGAACAACTGTGCATGCTGGTTTGGGGGTCCTAGATAATGAAGATAAAGTAATTGTGAATAGTAGCCATAGCTACTATCAGTGAACATGTGATATGTGTGAGATATCTTGCTAGGTTTAAATGCATTGTTTTCATTTGGTCCTCACAAAAAATATAAGACATAGATATTGTTCCTGTCCTCACATTACAACCAAGGAATGAAAAGTTAGAGATGGTTAAGTAGCTTGCTCAAAAAACATGTAACTAGAAATTGGTGAAGCTGGGACCCAAACTCAGGTTTTCAGACTTTAGAAATGGCAACCCTAATAACTAGAGTCGATTGGTTGCTATGTGAGAGCACCACCAGTTGACATCCATTTTTCAAGTATTTATTTGATATTTGCCATATATCAGGATAAGGTTTCAAATGTGAAAAACACATGGAGCCTGCTCCCTGGGAGCTCACAGAACAATGGTAAAACTGCTGGGTAGGCTAACAAGGTCCTGGGTGCAAGGAAACGACTGTGCGCAGGGAACCAAAGGAGCATGAAGAAGAGAGTAGAAAATTCTAAGGGAGACTGAGGACCCATTACAATATTTTATATGAATGGTTTCCAATTTGTGAAATAAAGAAATGATGGGACCTACAGTTAGCGTAATGGCTATGTCACTGGACTCCCATGTAGTCGACGGCAGTTTGAGTCCCAGACCTGGTGACTTAAAATCATGCCGGGCGCGTGTGTGTGTGTGTGCCCAAGATCCCGAGAAGAGACTGGAGGAAAAGGGATTGCGGCATGGCCATCCTCCCGGGGGGGTGATTTCTCACTTTCTGTCTCTCTGTCTTTCTCTGTCTTTCTGGCGAGTGCACGTGCCCTATAGCAAAAACCTCTCCAAAATAAATAAATACATACATACATACATACATACATACATGATTTTCCTACTCAAGTGTAATATATATTAACTCATCGTAAGTTTTATTTAATCACACAGGGAATGGTCTGTGTGGATAGCTCAGAAATCATAGACCATTGGTCACACAGAACAGTAATCCATAGTTTCAAAGGATTAAAGAGAACATTGGTGGTGAAGCTATCTTTTAATTTGATGTGTGTAGAGTTTAGCACGTTTTTATACATTGTTTTGGAAAGATATATTAATTAACTTGGTTCTAGGTTTATGTCTTCCTGAATTCTCAAGACTTAGAATTCCAGATGACCATGCAGTTTCAGATCTATCCATGTACAATTATATAGAGGTGAGTGGTTTGACTCTGTTCTATGAGCTTGCGTAATTGCTGTACATTATCAAGGTATTATCTATACTGCAGACATTTAATAAAAAGGATTAGGAATAACTATCATAGACATAAGTTTTATTTCAGTGCTTTGTGTCTAGCATTGTGATGAGTAGGAATGAACAGTACTAATAACTAGTAAAGAAATAAAGGTTCCTAGTTAGAGGTATTCTTTAAGACTCTTGCATTATTGCAGATGCGAGCACACGTCAACTCAAGGTGGTTCATTTTTCAAAAGAATGTGGAGAGATTTCTTCATGCTATTATGCCATCTACATTTATCCCTCTCTATACCATGGTAAGGTCTGGATTTAAGACTTATTCTCTTCTTACTTCTCTGTTTAGCCATTAAAGAATACACAGTAACACTTTCAAACTTCCTTGTAGGTCACCTTTTCTAGAATAAGATACCATGAGGCAGCACTGCGTTGGCACTGGCAAAAAAAGGTTGGAAGAGATTACACTTTGTTTACAAATTTGAGGTGGTGAATGTCATAGGTTTATGATTACGTTTATCCCAGACTCATACAGAAATGATGGGGCAGCTACCAAATGTTTGCCTTCAAAGTCAAAAATATCTGGGGTGCACATTGGGCCCTGTGCCTACTTAACAAAATCAAAGAGGCAAAAAGAGAAAGAGAGCTTTAGAAGGAAAGAAATTCAGAAAAGAAACTGGCACTAATATTCTTAAACTTTTTATTTTAGCAATGTGAGCCACTGTGGACTTTACCTTTGTGCAGTATTCCTACGTAGGATTTGATCTGTAAATCTGGGCAGAACAGAATCACTTGTAAACACCAACGCTAATGTAATGCTATGCTACCTTGGTGCGGGCTGATTGACTCAGAGATGCTATTAAAAGGAAGTCCTGACTGACTTCAGGAATTTTACAAATGGATTACAACCTCTGTTTACAAGGTTAACCACATCCAGAAAGAACAAGATTGGATACATTTGAGTAATTTGAAATATATCTGTCAGATGTCTTGAAGACTTCACGATCACATACACGGGTTGTGACATTTTTAAACACTTTGGTATATTATAGCCTTCCATGGAAAATGCAAACGAATGCTGTTGTGCATTTGAGTAGACTATAGCAAACTTTATTTATTCAACATATAGTTTGTTTAGTGTGCAGACACTGAGTGGGGCACGGTGATGAAGGAGATGATGAAGGAGATGCGATTTCTACCCTTCCCATAGCTCAGAGGCTAGCAGGGGAGATGGACAGCTGCAATGGAGGGGGTTAGCTGCCCCAGGAGAATGGGAGTGGGAAAGGACAGGTGGGAGCTGAAGAAACAGGAGCAACAGGCTAGAGCAGGAACGCCAAGTATTTTGGGAGGAGCTGGAAGGCAGTATGTGTGTGTGAGAATGGCCAGGGGGTGAGCTGGAAAGGTAAGCAGGGCCTTAAACATCTTGAATATTAAGGAGGCTAATAGACTCTGGTTTGGATTTTAGAAAGATTACTTTGCTGTGTGGATTATGGACTGGAAGGAATCAAGATTTATCCATGCAAAGATAGATGTAACAGGGCCCTTGACCTAGAGGAATTGAAAGTCTAAACGGTGAAAGGAGACAGTGGCAGGCAGTCAGTATGCAGGTCAGCACATGCAGGGATAGACACCAGCCAGGATGTTAAGGGAATGCCCTGATCCAGACCAGAATGAGCTACTGCTTCACTGCTGGTGGGGAAGCTTCATGCTCACAGCCTTCAGGTGAACATGTCCTCTCAGGGACTCCCAGGCCCATAAGTGTTCTTATGGAGACTTGGTACAGTGCCTGAGATGTGACAGAACTGTCTGTGTCCTCAGCACAGTACTTTTCTAAGGCAGCATTCATGCTTTTTCTAAGCTGTGGCGTTTTTTTATAGCTACACAAAAGCTGACTTTTTCTAACTGCAGGCTGTTTTCTTTTTTAATAGCTGTTTCAGAATTCCTTATACACAACACCTGAATTCATGAGTGTCTTGGGCAAGAAGGCAGAGGAAAGCTCCCCATTCTTGATCTTACCTTGAACTCACCAATCCCTTACTAAATGGTCATCAATTCAATTGTTTCAGGTTAAAAAACTAAGAGAAAACTGTATACTCTTTTGTCATTTAGAATAAATTCTATGTCAAGGTGTTACTCTCTGGACAAATGATATGAGAGTTCTTGCTGTCTTTACAGGTAATAAACAAAGGACTCTTTTTCTTTGGTTCACTGATAGCCATCGGTAGTACCTACCTACTTATGCGCTATATGTCCCAAGGACCTCTGGACTACTTGAGAAGACCAGGGCACTGGATTGCTCACTTCCGGAATACAGGACATGCTTCCCTACAAACTCCATGGAGCCACTAGAACAAATTCCCAATCTCATTAGCAGGGGATACAAAGGTTCTGAGATAGCAAACGCTTGATTTCTCTGTAATCAAAATTAAGGATCAAAACATGTTTCCATTGCCATATTAACACACTAATGGAAAATAGCTGTCAGTTTATAATTAAACACAATGTAGAACTTCTGTGTTAACTGCAATTACTAGGGGGTTGGGGGAGGGCACTGTTTCTTTTTGTTATTGTTGTTTTTTAAATTGCGATGTGCAAATTCTCCACCACATTATGCACACTGTCTGGGTCATTCTAAACAAAGAAGTGCAATGACCAAGATCGCTTTCACTTCTCCGAAAGGAAAGCCCCAGAGACCCTGGGGAAGACTCCGATCACGATTTCCTTATAAAGGATGTTGTAAGATTCAACAGAATTGACTCATTACCAGGGACTAGAAATCACAAATTGCCTCATATATTAACTGACTTCTCATCACCTGGATGGAACTTACCACTTGATAAAACAAGAATAAATGAGGATTCAAGGACTTCTAGATTGTCACAGAATGAATCTACCTTTTGTTGTTCTGGAGGGTGCATGCACTCGCCAGAGAGACAAAGACAGGGAGAAAAGAAAGCAATCCCTCCCACCCTCAATGGGGACTGGTTATACCACAATCCCTTCTCCCTCTCTCTCTTCTCTTGGGATTTGGGGCACCCATGCACACGTACCTGATGTGTTTCTCAAGCTGCTGGGTTCAGGACTTGAACTGCACAGTGCCAATTTGAAATCAAGCTACCTTAATCACTAGGTCATGGAGTCGGTCCCAAATGTATCCATCTTATTTTCCAGTCTTAAAATGTCAGTTATTTCCTTATGAAGATTTACAGGTAATAAACAAAGGACTCTTTTTCTTTGGTTCACTGATAGCCATCGGTAGTACCTACCTACTTATGCGCTATATGTCCCAAGGACCTCTGGACTACTTGAGAAGACCAGGGCACTGGATTGCTCACTTCCGGAATACAGGACATGCTTCCCTACAAACTCCATGGAGCCACTAGAACAAATTCCCAATCTCATTAGCAGGGGATACAAAGGTTCTGAGATAGCAAACGCTTGATTTCTCTGTAATCAAAATTAAGGATCAAAACATGTTTCCATTGCCATATTAACACACTAATGGAAAATAGCTGTCAGTTTATAATTAAACACAATGTAGAACTTCTGTGTTAACTGCAATTACTAGGGGGTTGGGGGAGGGCACTGTTTCTTTTTGTTATTGTTGTTTTTTAAATTGCGATGTGCAAATTCTCCACCACATTATGCACACTGTCTGGGTCATTCTAAACAAAGAAGTGCAATGACCAAGATCGCTTTCACTTCTCCGAAAGGAAAGCCCCAGAGACCCTGGGGAAGACTCCGATCACGATTTCCTTATAAAGGATGTTGTAAGATTCAACAGAATTGACTCATTACCAGGGACTAGAAATCACAAATTGCCTCATATATTAACTGACTTCTCATCACCTGGATGGAACTTACCACTTGATAAAACAAGAATAAATGAGGATTCAAGGACTTCTAGATTGTCACAGAATGAATCTACCTTTTGTTGTTCTGGAGGGTGCATGCACTCGCCAGAGAGACAAAGACAGGGAGAAAAGAAAGCAATCCCTCCCACCCTCAATGGGGACTGGTTATACCACAATCCCTTCTCCCTCTCTCTCTTCTCTTGGGATTTGGGGCACCCATGCACACGTACCTGATGTGTTTCTCAAGCTGCTGGGTTCAGGACTTGAACTGCACAGTGCCAATTTGAAATCAAGCTACCTTAATCACTAGGTCATGGAGTCGGTCCCAAATGTATCCATCTTATTTTCCAGTCTTAAAATGTCAGTTATTTCCTTATGAAGAAAAGTAAAAGGCTACTGGGGCCGACTGTGTGGCCTAACGTTTAAAGAGTTAGAGCCCACGTGGTTGACCAGGTGGTTTGAATCCTGGCCCCTGGCAGCCTGAGAAACATACAGGGCACATGTGCATATATACCCCAATCCCTAGAGGGTAGAGAAATGGAGGAGAAGGATCAAGGCATGTCCATGCTCCACTGGGGAGTGCTTTCTCCTTCCTCTCTCTTTCTTTGGTGAGTGCATACACCCTCTCCCTTTTTTTGTTTTGTTTAAAGAGGGGGGCTAAAAATGCCATACTAAATGAAGGATCGAAAGTATTTTATGGGGGAACAGCAGGTGGCATGGTGGTTGAGGTGCTGGATGCTCCCACATGGCTGACTGCGGTTCGAGTTCCAGATCTGGTGGCTTGCTTTCTCAGTTTCCCTCTCTCTCTCTCTTTCTGTGTCTCTCTCTGGTCAAATTAAAATAAGTGAATTAATAAATAAAATAAATAATTCTAAAAAAGTATTCATAAATTAAATATTTACATACATAAGTGAATAGGAAGGAAATAAAGGGAGAAAACTTTTGTGGAAATACAAAGGCATGTTTTACTCCATTTCAGACACTCAGAAGCAATCTGGTCATGTATTTTTGAATTGCATACTGCTGCATAACTTAATTTTAAATGTGTATTTATTGAAAATGTTTTCTTTGGTTCTTTCCTCTTCAATAGGCTGACAGAGTCATTTAGCAGTTCTTCTAACATGTTTAATATGAAGATGTAACACTAGGAGAATCATCTAAAAAATAAAAATGAGTCAATAAAATAATCCAGTGTTTCTTTTCTACAATGTCAAAGAAACCCTGGGGTCCTAATAATCTGTGTTTGGTTTGTAGGGGAGGAAAGAAGAATTATTTCTTCTACCCATCCTAGGTTCATTGACTGGGGCCCCTGTAAGAAAATACTGATTAATAAGAGAAAAATAAACAGTTTATTAACATGTATAGTTTAGTATTTACATGGGAGATACTGGAGAATGAGTGAATCTCAAAGAGCTGGCTTAGAATTCCCGAATTTATATAGCATTTTCAACAAAGAACAGTAAATTTTTAAAGAAATGACAAGACAAAGAAAACAGATTCTGAGGGTCTAAAGTTGCCTTTGGTGATCAACCTTGTCCTTCTTTCCTAGAGAGAGGAGGAGGACGCCTATGTAAATTGATGTCTTGCTTTTAGACAAATAGGGGAAGGCAAAGAACTTACCTTGTACTTGCTCCTTTTTGGTTGCTTTCAGTTCAAAATAATCTATATGCAAAGACACATGTTTTAGAGTAGCATATCCTGGTGTGCTTCAAGTCTTAAACAATGACCCATGAGGAAATGGCCTCATCACTATCACCAACCATCAGTTATGCAGTAGACTGAATCATGAGTAAAAAATATTAACACTTATTTCCATCTTCCTTCAAATGTAAGTTTTTTTTTTTTTAAAGTTAGAATTCCTTTTCTAAATCAAAAACTTATGGCAAAATAGTGGGAAATTCTCAAAAGGAGTGGCTAATACTGTGATGCTCACGTTTGAAATGATATAGATGGAAATACCAACCTGCCATCAACACCACTTTTACTATGTGCATCCCTACTCTCTTATAAGTAACTACAATGCCATAATCACCTTGAAATTCATCACCTTATTCTCTGCGTTATGATGTTTCTTAGTAGTATCTTCTAGAGCTGGCTCAGTACCATGTTATTCTGAAGCTGCTCTCTCACACACTACACAGGTGAGAAAAATCTTTTATTTCCAATAAAGTTAGGGGGCTGCTTTTCTTTTTTATTCTATATTTATCTTCTTGATTTGGTCAAACATAGGACTTGATACTGAATAGGACTCAGCACAGCAGAAAATGCAAACTTTTCTAGCTTTTTCATACACATATCTAAGACAAAATTGTTTTTACAGTGAAGTATTTTTGACAATGTATTATGAGCCTTGGAAAGTCAGTACTTTAGAAATATATTTAAAATAAAAATTTCCAACACGTTAGATGATGATGGTGCCAGATGCCCATCTTGTGCCACAGTTGTTTTTCATTATGTACAGCACCCATTGAAATAAAAAAGTGTCTTGTTTGATTACTTCCTGAGGCCACAGAACATATGGGTAATTCAAATTTCCCATGAGCCACCAAGTTTTGTCGATTCTACAAAGAATGTGGATTCCAGAACAGCCCTCATAATGGAAGTCTAAAAGTAGCATCCAATAGAAGGCCCCATCTGTCATTACCATTACTTATTCCTACAACGGACGCACTTGGATTACGTCAACCTTAGACCCACTGGTTTTGTCACTGTCATCAACTGACAGTGATTCATCACTGGTGATGATAAAAATAATGGAGGAAGAGTTAAAAGTCACTTTTTTCTTTGGCTTGTCCCCATCTTTCTGTGACATCACAATGGGCCTGATCTGCATTTCACTTCCAGCTGCTGGTAGGTCTTTAGCAGGCCGCTGGTACCTTAATAGTCGGAAGCATAGGAGCTGCAGCAGGGATCTTCGGAACTGGGCAGAGAGAAAATAAAGTTGGCTATTAAGGAAAAGTTTAGTTCTTAATCTGGGTTAACATTTTTAAAAATTAGTTAAATCTGGGGCCAACAGGTAGCGTGGTGGTTAAGGGCATTGGACTTCCACATGGCCAACTGCGGTTCAAGTTCTAGATTTGGCAGCTTGTTTCTCACTTTCCCCCTCTCTCTCTCTTTCTCACTTTGCCCCTCTTTGATCAAATTAAAATAAATAAAGTTAATAAAATAAGTCTTTGAAAAAAAATTAAATTACATTTTTTTTCAGTCAACTGATATGAGTGTAGGTTTATTCAGTAAAGCTCAGATCTAAGTCACCCAAGAATTTTCTGTCTTTTACTTATTTAAATCTTGTTAACTAGAACATATAGGACTACTTATTTGTCATCTCAATAGCTTCAGTTTGCATGCAGCTTTTATGAGGGCAACTAGATCTGTTTCTTCAAGGGATTTTGAACTCTAAGTCAATCCATAAATATTCAGTGAGCACCTACTAAGTGACAACCACTGTGTTATAATCTAGAAATGTTATAAGTAGCAAAGATACAAGAATTTTATAGGAAATAAAAAGGATTCAGAAAAAAATGGAGGGTATTTCCAAAGGAAATAAAAATTTTAAGATTTATTAATAGAGGTTCCTATTTGCTAGACACATTTCTATTAAAAATACTACTTATTTCATCAGAAAATATTTTATGCCCAGTAATAATAATAGCCACAAAGTTCAAAATACATTTAAAATTCTTACTGTAATATGCAGGTTATACCCATTGTCTTTGCAACATTTCATAAAATATTCACTGATATTCTCTATTTTATTTATGGATTACAAAATATTGATAGGTCCACAGAAGTTAAAATAACTTCCCTGATCCAGGAACTGGTAAGTGTTATTGCCAAGATTCGAACCTAGTTTGCTTGAGTCCTAAATCCAGTGTTACGACTCTTAGAATTATGCACACTTTAGTAATGGGTCTGAGTTGCAGTTAACCCTACCACAGCCAATGTCTAGTCAAGATTTATTTGACCCAAGAAACTTCCTTTAGGTCTGCTAGGAAGCCAATCATGTTTTGGGAAGGTTTTTACTTGATGATGGCTATTAGTCATGGCTACGAGAGACCTCAGTGTAACCAAAGTAAAACTGAACCCCTAAGTCATAAATTTGAAAGATCAGAAAATTTAAAAGTTAAGAGTAATGGTTAATTAGTCCAAGGAAATTTTAAAGGTAACAGATCATAATAAAAACAGTAACAATTACTGTGACTTCAAATACTGAAGAATTTAGAAGAAATCACTTTTATAAAAACCATTACTGTCTTGGGACCAGCAGTTAGCATAATGGCTATGTTGCTGGACTCCCATGTAGTCGACCGCGGTTCACGCCCTGGACCCGGTGGCTTAAACTCTCACCGGGCACGTGTGCATGTGTGCCCAAGATCCAGAGAGGAGAATGGAGGAGAAGGGATTGCTGCGTGGCCATCCTCTCTGGGAGGAGATTTCTCACTTTCTTTCTCTATGTCTCTCTCTCTCTCTGTCTGGAGAGCGCACGCACCTTATAGCAAAAACCTCTCCAAAAAAAAAAAAAAGCCAAACCATTACTGTCTTATAAAATTCTTGACTAAGTTCTTATCATTGAGGCTGCTCTAAATCATCTCTATAAAAGTATTATAATTTTCAACCCTATCCCCAGGGTGAAAGCAATCTACTAATTACAAAGCTTACCTTTCTGATCATGAAGATATAAATAACTGGATTGTACACAGTGCTTGATTTCGCAAAGAGAAATGAAACAATAGATACTGTTGGCGTGATCAGGTGTCCATAACCATTAACCACCAAGAAACGGATCACAATATAAGGCATCCAACAGATCAGGAAGGTGAGTATCATCAAAAAGCACATTTTGGCTACTTTCTTTTCATATCTTAATATCTTGATCACTTGAATTGTCTGAAGATCTTCAACACAATGAAGCTGCAGAAAGAAAAAAAAGGAAAGTGTTGAAAAACATAATAATTGTCTTCTGTTGTTTTTAAAACAGATATTCAGGTACCATTCTTGTCCCTTGTCCCCTTGGAAGGAGACTGAAAGCAACCTTGGGAGGCTGACTTCTGATCCAAGACCTGCAGCTGGACTCAGACTTAATTAATCTGGGCATCTGTCTCTTCACTTTTAATACATACATTCTGGATGAATTACATCACCTCTCGTGTCTTTTCATTGCTTTCGATCCTTTCCTAATTTACTTAATGAGAATAAAATGAATTATTTTGGCTAGATCATCAAGTTACTAACTGAAAAAATCATGATAAAATGAAAAACATTTCTGGATGATTGTGGGAACTCTTTTATCCAAAGCTCATACTGCAATCTCTCAAACCAGGCAGCTAATGCATGTCATGCCAGGGTTCTACGTGGTGAAGCCTATAGCTGGTATTAAAGAAAACAATCCTCCCATGAACTGTTGCTGGAAACTACTGTTTCAATTCCCTACCAATGGTTATAAGGTGGAATCTGATGAAAAATGTATTTGTGGTTGGTTTCATTAGAGGTTCATTTGCAGAGAAAACACTTGGTAAAAATTTGGGGAGCCACATTCCCCTAAAATCACCATATTGACACCTACTTTGTCCCCATGAAAGGTAGTGAGGAATAATGACCTACAGTCCAAAAGTTCTTTGAGTTTTTTAGATAAGGTTCTTTAGCTATTCCTTCTATTATTATTATAAACATATTATTAAGGTAAGGAAAAATATTTCTGTACACCAAAAATAGCTTACCTTTCTGATCACGAAGATATAAATAACTGGATTGTACACAGTGCTTGATTTCGCAAAGAGAAATGAAACAATAGATACTATTGGCGTGATCAGGTGTCCATAACCATTAACCACCAAGAAACGGATCACAATATAAGGCATCCAACAGATCAGGAAGGTGAGTATCATCAAAAAGCATATTTTGGCTACTTTCTTTTCGTATCTTAAAATGTTGATCATACTGTTGGAATAATCAGGTGTTTTATGTTTTTAATATAATGGTTATTTCTGATCATTGTAAGAAGTTATACTAATTTTTGGTTCAAATATACAACTGGTTTACTTATGGGCTTAAAAAAGATATCTAGGGGACCAGCAGTTAGCGTAATGGCTATGTCGCTGGACTCCCATGTAGTCGACTGCGGTTCGAGTTCCGGACCCGGTGGCTTAAACTCACGCCGGGCGCGTGTGCATGCGTGCCCAAGATCCCGAGAGGAAAATGGAGGAGAAAGGATTGCGGCGTGGCCATCCCCCCTGGGGGGTGATTTCTCGCTTTCTGTCTCTCTGTCTCTCTCTGTCTGTCTGGTGAGTGCATGCGCCCTATAGCAAAAAATAAAAAAACCTCTCCAAAAAAAAAGAAAAAAAAAAAAAGATATCTAGCATAATGTTGATACTGAGTATTACAAAACTTTAAATTAGGAAATTCATTGCATTTCAAGGAACTCTAAGTGTACCTTTTAGTTCTAACATTATCATAAAACAAAGGAAAATTTTCCAAAGAGATAATTTTCAACATGTGCTCATAGTATTTACAAATATATTTTAAATGCTACTCCTAAATTATAGTTATCACCTAAAATTATATTTAAGAAACTATAATCTTATTAAAATCATGCATTCAGATTGACAAAGAATAGAGGGAAACATGGGAAATCTAAATGGTTGAAATTTTGGATCCAAGAAAATATGTATAGGGGAATGGATACATTTCTGGTACTATTATTATATGTGTGTTTAATGTTATTTAAAAGAAACCATTTTATTTAGTGGGATAGGATATTCTATTTCAATACTTCATTTGGCATGAGGAGGGATACTCTCTCTAGAGTTGGCAGGAAGATTTTAAGGTTTGAGTAAAAGCTCTAGATTGGAATGGAAAGATCTGGGTTCATATCCTAGTTTTTTTTGTTTATTTGTTTGTTTTTTGAAATATTTTTGCTATAGGGTATGTGCGCTTGCCAGAGAGCCAAAGTGAGAAATCACCCTCTAAGGGGATGGCCACCTCACAATAATTTCTCTCCCATCCTCCTTTCCGGATTTTGGGCATGCATGCACATGTGCCTGGCATGAGTTTTAAGCCACTGGGTCTGGGACTCGAACCACAGCTGTGCTGTAACCATTATGTCATATGTTGGTCTCCATACCCTAGATTTACTACTTTTGCTCCCAGTGTAATGTTGAGCAAGTCAATTACTCTCTTTACAAGTAAAAATAAAAGGTTAAAATGAATAACCTATTAGAATTAACAGAACCTGGGACCAGCAGTTGGCATAATGGATATGTCACTGGACTCCCATGTAGTCGACTGCAGTTTGAGTCCCAAACCCGGTGGCTTAAAACTCACGCCGGGCGCGTGTGCATGCGTGCCCAAGATCCCAAGAGGAGAATAGAGGAGAAGGGATTGCAGTGTGGCCATCCCCCTTGGAGGTGATTTTCTCGCTTTCTGTCTCTCTGTCTTTCTGGTGAACGCACATTCCCTATAGCAAAAACCTCTTCAACAACAACAACAAAAAAGAGTTAACAGAAGATGGGTTCCAGTTCCACACATGACTTTGTTGGGTTGTTTTCAAAATTAAATATTTATATTTGAGCTATACTTGAAATTAACATATTTATGTCATATAATTAGTATTTTTATTCTATAGGAATCATAATTTATGCCTCTTCAGAGTTTCAATTAACTAGTGATGTAACCACATCTCAGTTATCCGTCCACCAAAATTGTCAAGCATGAAGCTTGACATGCTTTATTAGTCTTAAAGAATGGACTACTTCAGACAAATTCTCCAAAATTCCCTCTAAAAGTGTTCTCTGCCTATATAAATGGTTGATGCCTACTGCTTATTGATCCAGACACCTGTCGATTTTCAGATTTCACTGAGTCCTTGTTCTCCAGTGAGTAGCTATGTCAACATCACTGTTACAAGTCATCCCTCTGTGAATAAAAAAATAAAAATGACGAATTGCACACACCAAGTTCTCTATTGAGATAATAATAGCACAATATAAAGTTAACTCTCTTCACACTTTTACCACTTCCTTTTTTATGCCCTTTACTTGTAACTCATTCCCAAAACAGTCACTGATCACCAATTACATGCAGGTACTATTCCAGCTGTAGGTGAAAAAATAAGTGAGATTCAGCCTCTGCTATTGAGGAATTCACCATTTGGTGCTTGAGTATGTGATACATGCCATGAAGGAGGTGACCAGGAAGGACTTTGAGAGAACTCAGGATGGGTACCCAGTTCTGAGGTGTATTAGAGCGAGAAACTTATCTCAGCCTTCTGAGGTGAGGAGGAGTTAGCCAAATAAGGAGGAGAGGCAAAATGTTACAGAGAAAGGAAGTATGCTAAGGTAAAGGAATAAAAGAACATATATTGTGTTCTAGGAGCAAGAAATATTGCCGTTTGTCGAAACCTGATGTGAACAGAGGAAGAAGTGTCAGGAAATAAGGTTGGGCAGGTAGACAGGTGATGGCTCACAGGATGTATTAGCTGCTCTCAGGGCTTTATTTGTCGTCATGAAAACAGTGGAACCCATAACTAACATTCGAGAACAATTATTCTGATCACGTTCGGAGAATGGATTGGAGGAAAGCAAGAATAATGGGAAGGAAACAAAGATCTTTTTTAATTCACTCTGTGACAGTGGGAGAAAGAAATGGATTGCTAAGAAAATATTTTGTGGAATAGATAAGAATTGATCAGTAGTTAAGTGTAGGTGGAGACATGGATGGAGAATAGTCAAAGATTACTCCTATTGTCTGCTTTAGGTACCTAGATATGATTACTATTCAATGACAAAGAAAATGGAAGCATAGCAGATTCCAGGAAAACGATGGGAAATTAATCTTCGCCTATGTTGAATTTGATAAATCTGTGGGCCAGCTAAGTGGAGGTGTTCAATGGTAATTGACTTTGAGGATCTGATAGTGGTCAGAAGACCTGGGTTAGAAATACAGATTTCAAAGCTGTTCTTGTCAGGGGGAACCAGCAGTTAGCGTAATGGCTATGTTGCTGGACTCCCACGTAGTCGACCGCGGTTCGTGTCCCGGACCCGGTGGCTTAAAACTCACGCCGGGCGCGTGTGCGTGCGTGCCCAAGATCCCGAGAGGAGAATGGAGGAGAGGGGATTGCGGCGTGACCATCCCCCCTGGGGGGTGATTTCTTGCTTTCTGTCTCTATGTCTCTCTCTGTCTGTCTGGCGAGCGCACGCGCCCTACAGCGAAAATCTCTCCAAAAAAAAAAAAAAAAAAAGCTGTTCTTGTCAGGAGACATCCTAGGAGTATATGAGATCACCCCAGGCCAGCACATAGCATAAGATGAGAGCTGAACACTGAATGCTGAGGAGACCCAAGGAAGAAAAGACCTTGAAGGAGATGTAGGAAGATGGGACTGAGAGTCAGCAATAAAGATGGCAGAAAACATGAGCCTAGGGAACCAGCAGTTAGCGTAATGGCTATGTCGCTGGACTCCCACGTAGTCAACTGCGGTTCGCATCCCGGACCCGGTGGCTTAAAACTCACGCCGGGCGCGTGTGCGTACGTGCCCAAGATCCCGAGAGGAGAATGGAGGAGAAGGGATTGCGGAGTGACCATCCCCCCCTGGGGGGTGATTTCTCGCTTTCTGTCTCTATGTCTCTCTCTGTCTGTCTGGCGAGTGCACGCGCCCTGTAGCGAAAAACCTCTCCAAAAAAAAAAAAAAGAAAAAAGAAAACAAGGGCCTAGAATCAATGGGAGGAGAAAGACAAGAAAATAAACTTTGCCAACCATCTCAAAGGCTATGGATGCCAGAAAAAAAATGGAAATAGAAATGTGTCCATTAGATCTAACCTTTGGAAGATCATCAATTACCTTAAATGAGGGTCGTTTCAGCAAGGCTATTGTAGAGGAAAGAGACACTAATTTCCAATGGGTTGAGGAAATAAATTATAGATAAATTTACTAAGTTTTTTTTTTCTTTGTTTGTTTGTTTGTTTGTTTGTTTAGAGAGGTTTTTGCTATAGGGCACGTGCGCTCGCCAGACAGACAGAGAGAGACATAGAGACAGAAAGCGAGAAATCACCCCCCAGGGGGGATGGTCACGCCGCAATCCCTTCTTCTCCATTCTCCTCCTGGGATCTTGGGCACGCACACACACACACCCGGCGTGAGTTTTAAGCCACCGGGTCTGGGACGCGAACTGCGGTCAACCATGTGGGAGTCCAGTGACATAGCCATTATGCTAACTGCTGGTTCCTAGATAAATTTACTAAGTTAAAAGCTTTTCTAACTACAATAGAAATTTAGTTTTTACAGTTCTGGAAGCTGGCAAGTCCAAGATGAAGCTGCTGGTTAGACAGATTTCATTCTGAGGCCTCTTGTCTTGTAAGCATCCGCTATCTTGCTATGTGATCACATGACCTTTCCTTTATGCACACATGGGAATTGAGAGAGGACAAAACCCTTTGGTGTCTCTTCTTACAAGCGCACTAATTCCATCAGACGAGAGTCCCCTCCTCACGACCTCATGTAATCTTATTTACCTCCTCAAGTTTTCATCTATAAATACCATCAGGTGGTAATGGTAGGGGCTTAGGGTTTCAACATGTGAATCTGGAGGGGACAGAAACATTCAGTCCATAATAGTAACAGGTATATTTTAGATGGTCAATAAATACTGGTCAGATAAGTGCTTACTGACTGATGTGGTATCAAAAGTCACCAGTGGTTCTTCGAATTAGCAGTGATGAGGAGAACTATAAAGTGATAGCCTGAGAGGACTGAGAGTAGATTTTGCTTTCATTTTAATATAATATGGTTATATGTGAAAGGGGAAGAGTCAGTAGTACGGGAGAAGTTAGATTAATACCATTTTTGAAAGAGAAAATTATTATACTTGAGCAAAGTCTCCAGGGCAGAGAACGGGCTGGGAGAACAATCAGAATAGAGAATCAGCTTGGTTTGGGGAGGCCCCTTAGGGCCCCTGTAACTGAAGAGAGTTAGCAGTCTAAGAATCAGTGTGGACATAGACATCTGTATAAGTGGGGGCAGGGAGTTGAAGGTTTTGATAACGGCTTTATCGTCCCCAGTAATTCAGAAGCAAAGGTATTGGATAAGAATGAGGGATGATCACAGGGCAAAAAAATAAAACGAGAATTGAAAATTCGTAACGGCCATTGTGTGGAGAAAATAGATCTCAGGGATACTCAGATTCCTAAACAGAGCTGAGAGGACATCTGAGTTTGGACACGTGGTTTTTCTCCCAGCTGCTTTTTGCAGTTTGAATATAGGAAAAGAAGAAATAGGGAGTTGGATTGATCCAGGAATCTGTCTTTTTTTTTTTTTTTTTAAAAAAATGGGGTTTGGGGAAAAAAAAAGGAAACCAA